ATGCCATAATGACCTAAACAACCAGTTGCTCTGATGACCACTGTGGCCAGCGAACCAGCCCAATTGGGGGTGGGGCTGGTGGCCAACCTCCCACAGCCCCTTCGCCTGGCTGCCTTGCCCCTGATCGGCCTCTCCCACCCAGATTGAGGGTGGGTTGGCCAGGCAACCCTCCACGGCCCTTCCCCCCCTGCCAACCCTGTCCCTGATGGACCCACCCCACCTCAATTGGCCCACATCCCTCCCCCTGCCTGGCCCTGCCCCTGATTGCCCCCCCCTACCCCAATAGGAGGCAGGGCTGGCCAGCCAAACTCCTGCAGCCCCTCCTCCTGCCCAGCCCCACACCAGATCGGCGCCCCCACCATCTCTTCCTCCCAACAGGCCTGACCCCAATCCGCCAATTGGGACTGGGCTGGCTGGACCCCACCTGTGCATGAATTCATGCACTTAGGCTTCTAGTAGTATAATAACCATTCACATAACTATCACCAAACTTCAACAATTATCAACATCTGACCAATTTATTTCATCCATTTCCCTCTTTTAAAATTGTTTAAAATGCTTCCTTAATTTGAAGGAAATTCCAGACGCCATTCCTGAGCAGGGCAGGCTTCGAAACTACAGACATCTCCTTTAGCTGGGAAGGCTGGAAAGCACTTGCATATTTGGTTAGGGAGCTTCTAATTTCATTTTCACAGAAGAAATGAAAAAACTCCAGTAGCCTAAGGGCAGACTCTGATGAGTTCTGGCCTGGAATTACACAGAGACAAACCATGTTCCTTTCTCTGGCTTGGTTCTAGAGGGACAATGGAGGAGTTCGCTCCAGTGCATTTCTGAGATGAATAGGCTATATTCCAGAAAAGCTCACATGCCCAACGCAGGGTACACCTCCTGCAATCTGTTGGTCGACCTGGATGTTGTCAGAGACTTGTCTTCTGGAGCCAGCAAATACCGGGACTTCATCCGTCAACTGCCCATCCATCTCTCCAAGTATATTCTAAGTATGCTGGGATGTATTGGGGATTTCTCAAGAGTCTTCCCTTTGCAATCCAGTTTATAGGGTCCCAGGTTTATCTATTTCCCCCCAGGTATGCTCGATAAAAGCACCCTGAACAGATGTGCCGCTGTGAGCCAGCACTGGGCTGCACTGGCAAAGAAAGTCAGGAAGGACTTCTCGATACATTCGTTCATTCACAACCAGATCGCCTTACTGCAGGTACTCCTGTCGGGAAGGGTGGTCTGCAGACTGGCCTTACTTCCTCATGGAAGCTGGCTGACAGGAGCCTTTCAGTCCACTCAGCAGACCCTTTGAATGGCCTCCTGTTGCATTTTGCTGCTTCACAGGCTTCAACAGTCATTTCCTTTTTGTGTGAACTCCCCATTAATCTATACCATTGTGAGTGCATTGAGCAGGGAGAACATGTAGAAACCTACCAGGAAGAGAAAGGCAGAGCCTTGGAAAATCATGTGAAGCAGGGAATCACCTCCCCAACCCTGCCCCAACATGTGACCCCCGGCCCAGAGAGCTGCATTGTGGCTTAGGCCAGTGGTCGGCAAACTCATTAGTCAACAGAGCCAAATATCAACAGTACTTCTTCAAAATAGACTCGCCCAGGCCGAAAACCAACTTCTGCACATGGGCCATGAAGTTTCAATCACACTGTACGTGCTCCCGCACGTGGTATTTTGTGGAAGAGCCACACTCAAGGGGCCAAAGAGCCGCATGTGGCTCGCGAGCCGCAGTTTGCCGACCACGGGCTTAGGCAATCAGGAAGTCATGTGTATGTTTCTGGATCAGCCTGACACAGTACACAGATGTCTACAAGGCCACAAAGTCTATTTGTAAGTTAAAATGCAATTTTCTCTGGCATTTTTACTTTTTTTTTTTTGCCTGAAGCCTAATTCAAATAAAGGATTCTTGGGAGCTAGGATTTTTTCCCAGCAGAGACAGATGAGAGGAGAAGAAGCAGGCATGGTGAGGCAGGTCATCCTCTGGAAAGCTGGGAATGGCTGACCATCTCTTTCTGGTCTCGTTCCAGATCTTTAGTATCATTATCCTCCTTAAGCCAGTCTACACACACTATTGCCTTACTGGCCAGGCCCAGGCCTCCCTGAGTCAGAGCTTACTCCTCTTTCAGATCTTGCCAAGCACTAGTTTAACCTTCCTCTCAGAGAGAGGAACCAAGGGTAGCCATTTTCTGTTTTTCCCCCAGGGGTCCTACACAAAGGGAATAGATCCCACCTATGCCTGCAAGCTTTTCGTCCCAGTTCCTAAAATGACAGATGACATAAAGCGCACACGTGCGAAAAATCAGAAATGGAAACTGAGAACAAAGGTGGGTTCTGATGGCATCGCGGGCAAATAACTGTGAGAGTCATCTCTTACTGGTCAATGAAGGCTGAAGTCCAGGTTCAGTCCTTAGATAGGGTATAGGAAATGGGAGGATATGGAATATAGCATATGCATATAGGATATTGGAAGTGATATTCCCTAAGGAAGACCAGAATTCCGTGCTATGTGTCCTTCAGCTTAAGTTGCTTCCTTTCTTTAAGCCTTAAATGCCTCATGTATTAAACAAATAGATTGATTTGGTTGTCCTCTCAGGGTTTGTCCTTACTTTAAATCCCATTGCTATGTCCCCAGAACCAAGCCATCTGGTGCAGAGCTCAGAGCGAGGAGCAATGTCAGTGATAGCTGGGATTTTCTTCCACACCCATCAGTCCATGCATCTAGACATTCTAGAACAGGGGTCCTCAAACTTTTTAAACAGGGGGCCAGTTCACTGTCCCTCAGACCGTTGGAGGGCCAGACTATAGTTTAAAAAAAAAAACTATGAACAAATTCCTATGCACACTGCACATATCTTATTTTGAAGTAAAAAAACAAAATGGGAACAAATAAACTATTTGTATTTGCATGTGGCCCGCGGGCCGTAGTTTGAGGACCCCTGTTCTAGAAGCTACAGGAGTCTGTGGCTCTGGAATGAGAACAGGAGGGCCAGTCCAGAATGTCCAGGGTCCAGAATGAATTAAACTTTCTCACCTTTCACGTCCAGGTTCATTCTGATTCTAGGATGGAAGGGGAAAGTTACTTAACCATACATCTCCCTATCAAATCTTAGGCAATAATGAAGAGCAGATGGAAGACCCTGAACTCTATGTTCTGCCTATCCAGGCATGGTTCATTCCTAGAACCATTAGATTACTGCTTCCTCCTCTTTGCTCGAGGGCCTTCTAATTTGAAACTATTCAATGGGTTCTAAAAGAATATTTAATGAGGGGTGGTCAGACTGTAGCTTCCCATAAGAAAACTGCATTATAAATTATAATTTGAGAAATAGAAGTGTCCAGAGAGACAATCTAGTTCATATGTCTGTAGAGACCAGACAGGGCCCATGAATGAGGGAGGTGGTGGTCTAAGTAGTAAAGGACAGTAGAACAGTGATGGGTTAAGCAGCGGTTCTCAACCTGTGGGTCGTGACCCCTGCATATCAGATATTTACATTACGATTCATAACAGTAGCAACATTACAGTTATGAAGTAGCAACGAAAATAATTTTATGATTGGGTCACAACATGAGGAACTGTATTTAAAGGGCCAGAAGGTTGAGCATCGCTGGGTTAGAGGGTTCACTTTCCATCTAAAGGGGCCAGTTGCTACTCAGCTAGAGCTAATTATTGCCATGGGAGACTGTGAAGCTCGACCTAGACCACCTGAACTTTTGAGAGAAGTTAGAAACCTGAATTATCATGTGACATTCTTTGCTTTTTTAAATGCTGGCAACTAATTAAAATCATTTTTTTTTAATATGGGCCAAGGCAAATACATTTGTTTACCTCATTTGACTTGGCAATTTTTTAAATCTTTGAGTTGGTCCATTCACTCATTCTATAGATAAAGAAACTAAGGCACAGAGTTTCAGGATCCTAACCAGCAGAATAACAGGCAAATACAAGTGAAATGCTGATCTGCTCTTCCCAAGCCTATTGCTCTGTTGGGCATAATGAAACTAACATGCTTCTTCCTTAGGTGGAAGAGCTATAATTGCCTGACAAAAAAGAACCACCCAGACAGTGTTCAATATTTTAGAAATGTATAATTTAGGAAAAGAGAGACGATGTGGAGGCCAGATGAGGACATGTGAAGCAGTGAGACCAAACAGTTAAGGGGTCTGCTAGGGAAAGGTGGAGGTTGAGTGCTGCTGAGGGGTGCTGATTGCAATGGGTACTGAGCTCAAACAGTGTGCCAGGAATGGTGCCTAGGACTTTGTACACATTATGTACTTGATATTCACCACAGGCCAGGTATATAGCTTCAGTTTATGGATATGGAAATGCAGGCCACGTTGCTGGAAAACTTGCCCAAGCTCCCATAGCTGGTCAGTGGCAGAGCTGGAATTTGAACTAAGGTCTTGTTCCTCCCAATGACTCTACCATGTAGATTCTAGGTTCTCAAAACTTAATTGATGAGGAAGAGCCAAGGAATTCCAGCCCTACTGTGAGAAGCCAGGGAAGCTTCATTTAATTCAAGGCTGCTTGGACTCTGGAGGGGAGGCAGTTGGACAGGTTCTTCAGAGGCTTGTAGGTGAATATCACTACTTGGTTAAGATTAAGAAGGAGAGTAAGCTGAGGAAAGCAGCCGTCCTGAGGAAGAGTCTACAGGCATGATGACACCTAAGGTTTGGAAGGAGACTTAGGAAGAGGTGTCCCTAGGTCTGCCAGATGCAAACATGATGGTTTGGTCTTCTTTGCTTTCATGACAAACTCACCCTGTGTTTTGGTTGCCTGGTCGTGTATTATTTTCTGCTTTTGGAGGGGGGAGAGTATGCCTGAGAAGAAGAATGGAACTTTCATCTGTGCCAGAATTCAGCATGCCTGGCAGGCAATAGCTGCTCAGGAAGTATGTGATTAAGAGAGGGAGAGAAAAAAAAAATAGGGAAGGAAGGAGGAGGAGGGAAGAAAAGAAGGAAGGGAGGAAAGAAGAAGGAAGGAAGGGAGGGAGGGAGGGAGGGAGGGAGGGAGGAAGGAAGGAAGGAAGCCATAAAAGGAAAGCAAGCACCTCTGCTGAGATTGGGTATATTGATTTCTCCTCTCTGAGACTCAGATACCTCATCTGTAAAATGTTGAGAACACATTGTAGGGTGAATGATGTACTTTGTGAGGCAGCTGTAAGGAGAAGTTAAGGTTGCAGATGGATGAAAACTTTGAAGGGCAAATGAAAATAGAGTGTGTAACAGTAATTTCACACATGGCAGTTTCCATGAATATACTTTGTACTGTCAAGTATATGTAATGTAAATGTGAAACCTTACTTCCATGAAATGGTTGGTCAAAAGGGACCTGTGCCTTTATCTGTGGGTATACCCTTTGTGAGCTCATTTTTTTTAAAAGTTGGGCATCAGCAATATTGAAAGTTCATGGAATCAAAATGCATATGAAACACAAAGAAATGGGAGAAGAATTAGGACCTTGGACTCAATATTTTCTAACGTACAGATTACCTTGCTGCCTGCTCCTTGGCCCTTCCCCATGACCACATAGCAACAGCCACAGCCTGAAGAGGAAGAATCCATGGGCACTTGTGTCCTTGCCAGGGGAGACTCGCAGTGGTTCTCAACCTTCCTAATGCCGTGACCCTTTAATACAGTTTCTCATATTGTGGTGATCCTCAATTTCATTGTTACAAATTGAACATAATTAAAGCATAGTGATTAATCACAAAAACAATATGTAATTATATATACATTTTCTGATGGTCTTAAGCGACCCCTGTGAAAGGGTCGTTCGACCCCCCAAAGGGGTCGCGACCCACAGGTTGAGAATCGCTGCTCTAGGGGATACAGGGGTAAAGTTGCCACTGTACTTTGACTCCAAGTGTTCCTTTGTTAGAATGACAACAACTTGTGGACAGCATACCAGAACCAGGAAATCCAGCAGATTCAGATGGAGGAGAGAAATGTCTTCTGTGGGACTTACAACATCCATATTCTCTCTGACACGTAGGTACTAGGTTCTGAATCTAGGTCTTCAGAGATCCTTAAATACTGGCATCTTAGGATTCCCATGACCCTTGTTCACTTGGAAAGGCAATCCTTCCTCATCTCAAACGCTAAATTAACATGAGAATAGGTGCTTGATGTTTGCACCATTATCAGCAGTGAGTGGGGGATATTTTCCCCTTATAAATTTTGGATATACTGACCAACAAATTTATGCACAATTTATGTGCATAAAATCTTTCTTTTTTGAAATATTTTTATTGTTTTATTCTAATTTCAGAAGTAATATATGCTTACTGTGTGTGTGGGGGGGGGCGGGGGGGAGTCCACCAAATGCCAGAAAATGTATAGATAAAAGCAAAGATCTCCTATAATCTTGTCTTCTAGAGATAATCACCATTAATACTGGTGTCTATTCTAGAATTTTTTACAAAGCTGGGGGCTTAGCCGGCCTGCAAACCTCCCCCAAAAGGCCCTTGGCCCCTTGCCCAGGCCAGCCATGCCCCCCAGTGGGGATCCTCACACCGATGGGGGCGTGGCCAGCCTGAAAACAGCCCTCAGCCCCTCACCCAAGCTGGCCATCAGCTCCTTGCCCAGGCTGGCCATGCCCCCCAGTGGGGACCCCCAACCCAATGAGGGTGTGGCTGGCCTCCAAACCACCCCAGGCCCCTTGCCCAGGCCTGCCCTGCCCCCCAAGGGACCCCTACCCTGATCCAGGACCCCCTTCAGGATAGACCAGCCAGCCCTCACCTGTGCAACAGGTGTCTATCTATACTATCTATACTAATAAAAGGGTAATATGTTAATTAGACTGGGAGACCTTCCAGACAAAGCCAAGGTGGCGAGGCTGAGGCAGAGGTGGTTAGGGGTGTCCAGGCCAGGAGGGGAGGGCATTTTTGGAGTGATCAGGCTGGTGGGGGGGGGGGTCAGTTGGGAGCAATCAGACCAGCAGGGGCAGGCAGTTAGGGACGAGCAGGCCAGCAGGGGTGGGGGGGGGGCAGTTAGGGATGAGAAGGCCAGCCGGGGGGCAGTTGGGGGCAAGCAGGCTGGCATGCAGAGTAGTTAGGGGCGATCAGGCAGGCAGGCAGGCAGGTGAGCAGTTAGGAGCCAGCGGTCCCAGATTGTGAGAGGGATGTCCCTGTGGGATCGGGCCTAAACCGGCAGTCAGACATCCCCCGAGGGGTCCCAGATTGTAGAGGGTGCAGGCCAGGCTAAGGGACACCCCTCATGCACAAATTTCGTGCACCAGGCCACTAGTGCTATACATATTTCTGTAACACACTCCAGCAAAATACTGTGGCTATCTTTCCATGTTAAATATGAAAATAGTATTTATGATAACTACATAGTGTGACATCATTTGGATATGCTGTAAGAAGATCCTTTAATAATCAACTTTCTGCCATACTTTAGGCCTAGGATTTCACTCTTCATTCATACGGTTTTGTGAAGGGCATCTCTATTTTATTTTTGGCTGTGAGTCACACTAACAAATTGCATATTGACCAGTCCTTAAGGGAAAGGCAGAGCAGATAGGAGACAGGCAAAGTTGACTTTTTATGAGTGGTATGGCGATAAATACTCTTTAGAAAAGATGGTGCCTGGTTGAACTCAAGATATGACAAATGCAATGAGAACAAAATTGCTTCTCATATTCAGAGTGACCATACATCCCTTTTTACTGAAACAATCCCACTTTACTCTGTGATCCTGGGGTAATTAATAATAGTGTCCCCTTTCAAGGTAAAAAATATTTGGATAATAAATTATTTGGTCATCCTGATCATATTTTATCTATTTACTAATAATATTATGACTGGAAAATTAATTCAACTCACCTTTTTTTTATCAGACTACAAGCTCATTGAAGTCAAGGTCCATATCTTACTCATTTTTGTATTCCCCATGGCTCCTATTAGCTCAGAACTTGGAACTTAATATATGTTCATTGGATATTGGTTAAGAAAAATTAAAAAAAAAAGAAATAGTGGTATATGCAGTGGGTATAGGGCTTCCCAACTGTGTTCCTCTGAGGTTTTCCATGAAAAAAGGTTTCTGTGGTTAAATAAGTTTGGGGAATACTGCATACTCTATTCTCCTATTCTCTCTCTTGGGGATTTATCTACATTAATTAGCAGATTTTTTTGGTAGTTTTTGCCCGTTGTCTTTAGGTTTTAAATTTACCCCAAATGGATTTTTTGTTATGCTATGAGGTAGAAATCTATCAGGGCCCATTAACACTAGGCCTTTATCTCAGCTACTGTCCTTGTTGGAAGGCCTTGACTTTTCGTATACTTGCAGGTGAAACCACTGTGCTAGTGAATTCCAGGCAGGACACTAACTCTCTTTTCATGGATCATCCCTTTTCCTGGCAACTCAGGTGGGACAGAAATAGAATCATCCACTATTCTGGGGGAGATGTGGTAGCTGTGTCATCCAATCGGAAGATCCAGCTTCTGGACATCTTACAAGCAAAGGAGATCCCCGTCCAGTTCCGAGGCCACACTGGGACTGTCCGTGCCCTCTTTGTGTGTGAGGAGGAAAACGTTCTCCTGAGCGGGAGCTATGACCTGAGTATCAGGTGAGTGGGCCAAGGAGTTGTGGTTCCTCACAAACCCAGGTTTGTGGAAGAAAGAAGTACATATACTTTTTCCTTTTTGTAGTTATTGAAAAGTTCTCCTAAATAATACTAACTACTAGAATAGTCCACAGCATTTTGCTTTTTTGGCAAGGTAAAAACCAAGAATTTGTATATTGTTTAAACTTTGGATGAGATAAGCTTATAACAATGATAGGATCTACTAGTCTTTTCTACTTGAAGACTGTGAATCAGAAAGTATATTTTTAGCATTCCTAGATGAAGGCCCAATATTTATTTCCTTTTATAGATTCCTTCAGGGAAAGTATTTTTTGTGGGTTTGAAATATTGTATAGAAGTAAGATAGTGTTTGAAATATATATATATATTTAAAGAATATAAGAAGGACCATTGTACTCATTACTCAGGCCAAGAAATAAAACATTGTTAGTCTCCAAATCCCATTATGTGCCTTTCCCTTATTGCTTCTTTCTTCTTCCCAACCAGAGGTAATGTTATTCTAAATTTTATACTAATTATTCCCTTATATTTTTATAGGTTTATTTATAGTTTTGCTACCTAGTTATATATCTCTAAATATATTTATTACTTTGGTATATATTTATTATTTTGGTCCATTTTTGAACTTAACATAAATGGAACTGTTTTAAAAATTCATCCATATTTGAGTTCTTACATTGAACTATGATTTTGAGATTCATCCATATGATGTAGGCAGCAATAATTAACGTACTTTTACAGAGATATAGTGTTTTATTGGATGAATATATCTTAACTCATTTATTTATTCTGTTGTTAATGGATATTTGGATTGTTTCTAGGTTTTCTATTCTTTCAAGAAGTGCTGCCATAGGTGTTCTTGGATTTGTCTCCTGGTGCCTGTATATATGAGTTTTTAGAAAAAAAAATTATTGGGGGTATAATTGGCATATAACATTTCTGTTTTAGGTGTAAACAAAACCCATCACCACGCATAGTTACAGTTTTTTGTTGTTATGATGAAAACTTTTAAGATCTCTTTTAGTAACTTTCGAATATATGGCACAGTATTGTTAACTGTAATGCATGAATTTCTTATCTTTATTTTTGACAGTATTGCAGGTGTACTCCATTTCCCCTTACTTTGCACCCAGACATGCCTCCTCAGGTATTCCTCACACTATTGTCTGTGTCTATGGGCTATGCATATATGCATATATGTTCTTTGGTTGATCTCTTCCAGTGCCCCCTACCCCACTCTCCTCTGATATCTGTCAGTCTGTTCCATGTAGCTATGCCTTTTGTTTGCCAGTTAATTTTGTTCATTAGGTTCCATATATAAGTGAGATAATGTGATATTTGTCTTTTTCTGACTGACTTATTTCACTTGGAATAATCTCTAGGTCCCTCCATGCTGTCACAAAGAATAAGAGTTCCTTTTTTATAGCTACATAGTATTCCATTGTGTAAATGTACCACAGCTTTTCTATCCATTCATCTACTGATGGACACTTGGGCTGTTTCCAGATCTTAGCTATTGTTAATGCTGCAATGAACCTAGGGGTGCATATATTCTTTCTGATTGGTGTTTTAGGTCTTTTGGGATATATCTCCAGAAGTGGGACCTCTAGACCATACAGCAGTTCCACTTTTAATTTTTTTAAATTATTTATTTATTTATTTTAATATATTTTATTGATTTTTTATAGAGAGGAAGGGAGAGGGATAGAGAGCCAGAAACATCGATGAGAGAGAAACATCAATCAGCTGCCTCCTGCACACCTCCTACTGGGGATGTGCCCGCAACCAAGGTACATGCCCTTGACCGGAATCGAACCTGGGACCTTTCAGTCCGCAGGCTGACTCTCTATCCACTGACCGGTTAGGACCCATTTTTAATTTTTTGAGGAAACTCCATACTGTTTTCCATAGTGGCTGTACCAATCTGTATTCCCACCAGCAGTGTACTAGGGTTTCCTTTTCCCCACATCCTTGCCAGCAATAGTTAGTTGATTTATTGATAGGAACCTCACTGGTAGGTGTGATTTGATACTTCATTGTAGTTTTAATTTGCATCTCTCTGATGATTAGTGAGCATTTTTTCACATGTCTATTAACCATCTTTATGTCCTCTTTAGAGAATTATCTATTCAGTTCCTTTGCCCATGTTTTAATTAGATTGTTTATCTTTCTGTTGTTGAGTTATATATGTTGTTTATATATTTTGGAAATGAACCCCCTATCAGATGTACCATTAGCAAATATATTCTCCCATACAGTGGGCTCCCTTTTCATTTTGTTGATGGTTTCTTTTGCTATGCAGAAGCTTTTTATGTAATAACTAAGAACTTTATAATATTGCTATTGTAAATAGTACTTTATTTTCATTTATATTTTAAATTGATTATTACTGGTATAAAGAAACGATATCAATTTTTCTAGTTTGATTTTGTATCCAGCAACTTTGCTAATGTTTCTTATTAATTTTAAAAGTATGTGTGTTGATTTGGTTTGTCTATGTAGATGACCTTATCAATTGAAAATAATGACAATATTTTACCTTTTTTTCCAATAATTGTAGTATTCTTTTTTTGTTCTTTCATCCTGACTTTGCCTGGGCCTTCCAGCTAAGCAGTAGTAGTAAGAACAGGCATACATATCTTATTCTCCTTTTTTTTAAAAAAAATATTTTATTGATTTTTACAGAGAGGAAGGGAGAGGGATAGAGAGCCAGAAACATCGATGAGAGAGAAACATCAATTCAGTTGCCTCCTGCACATTCCCCACTGGGGATGTGCCCACAACCAAGGTAGATGCTCTTGATTGGAATCGAACCCAGGGCCCTTCAGTCCGCAGGCCAATGCTCTATCCACTGAGCCAAACCGGCCAGGGCTTATTCTCCTTTTTGAAAGGAGTACATCTATAGCAAGTATATTTAAGTATCATGCTTGCTGTTACAACTTTGATTTATAAGTTTATAAAATCAAAACATTTTCTTCTATTCCTATTCAACAAGTGTTTATCAAATACATTTTCTGTATGTATTTAGAAAAACAACCTGGACACATGGTCGGCCATGTTGCTAGAGATGGAAATTCAAAACATGTGTTTTTTTTAGACTACTGGGACATGGTCAAACACACTGTAGGTGCATAGCAGGCTCTGACAAACAGGTAAGGCCATAAGACACTTGGGAGTATTAGAAGAAAATCTTCACATTCAAAGAATGTATTATTAATAATTATTATTATATTTTATCATTAATCATATGTTATGCCAAATCTAATAATAACTGTATGAGGCAAGTGCCATTATCATCCCGTTTACAGATGAGGAAACTGAGGTACAGAGTTATTTATTAAATTTTCCAAGATCGCCGAAACCGGTTTGGCTCAGTGGATAGAGCGTCGGCCTGCGGACTGAAAGGTCCCAGGTTCGATTCCGGTCAAGGGCATGTACCTGGGTTGCGGGCACATCCCCCGTAGGAGATGTGCAGGAGGCAGCTGATCGATGTTTCTCTCTCATCGATGTTTCTAACTCTCTATCTCTCTCCCTTCCTCTCTGTAAAAAATCAATAAAATATATTTAAAAAAAAAATTTTCCAAGATCACACAGCTAGTAAGTGATGGACCTGGGCTTGGACCCCAGGCATCCTGGCTCCAGAGTCTACTAACTAAGCATTTCCCTGTGACCTGCCACAGAAATAACCTGGCTGAAGTGGAAATTTGTAATAATTATATTTAAGAGACCTCAGGCAAGCCTGTTTATTAAACAGCAGTGTGACACATACATGTTTCCATATATCTATTAGATACGCTTCAGAAATATACATAAAATATTTTGGATCTGCATGGCTGTGGTAATTCTTCTATTTCTATTATCCAGCAAGTGTTTATCAAATATATTTTCTATATGAATTTAGAAACACAACCTGGATACATGGTTGGCCAAGTCGCTAGAAACAGAAATTCAAAACATGCTTTTTTTAGAACATCGTTAAACACACCGTAGGTGCATGTTGGCTCCGACCAACAGGTAAGGCCATAGAACAGTTGGAAGATCAGCTCTACCATTGAATCAGTGCCATGAATTTTAGGCCTGGTGGTCATTCCAGGGACCCTTCCACCTATTACCAAGTAACAGTTATCGAGCATTTTCTACGCGTAGGTTACTATTCTAATGTTACATGCCTTAACGTGGGGTTTCTCAACTTCAGCCCTATTGACATTTAGGGCTGGAGAATTCTTTCTGTGGAGACACTCCTGTGAATTGTAGGAGGTTTAACAGAATCCTTGAACTCTATTCACTAAACACCAGGAGCACCTCCATCCCTGCTTGTGACAACCAAAACTAACTTCAAGCACTGTTAAATGTTCCCTGAGGGTAGAAATCACCCTGGGTTAACAATCACTGCATTTGTGAATTTAATTCTTCACAAAAATCCTATGTGGTATCTATTAATATTATCACTTCCATTTTATCAATCAGGAAATGAAGCCTACACAGAAATTAAGTAGCTTTCCTAAAGTTACACCTAATAGGTACTATAACTGAGATTAAATTCCAGGCCTCTGAGCTTCATCAGGAAACTTTTCTGCCTTACAACTACTTTTTGATCTATAGGAACACTATACAGTATGAACCCTTGGGTCCTAAGAAAATCTGAAAAACTTTTCTTTGGCCTAATTCCTGCAGATACTGGGATCTGAAAAGTGGGGCTTGCATACGAATCTTCACTGGCCACCAGGGGACAATCACTTGCGTCGATTTATATAAGAAAATGCTCGTGTCTGGAGCAAAAGATTGCCAGGTAAAAGGTGAGAGGAAATGCCCTTAACTTTCTAAGAAGTTTCCCCAAATCCATAGGTTGCCAAAATACATATTTTGGTCATTTCTACAGGCACCCACTTTTTTTTTTCATCCATCCACCCATCTATATACCTATTGATCCATTTCTTTGACAATTGTTGGTTGAATATGTACAATATGCTAGACACTGTGTGAGGTATTAAGGAAATAAAATGAGTATGATATGGCTCTTTCAATACAGCTTTTTATTTCCTCCAGAGGCTCATCATTTCCTAATGAAAATAGATATATAAATATATGATGGGGAATATAATAAAACATGTGACCAATAACAACTGCCACTTATTGAATACTAACTTTTTGACTGTGTTAGGTGCTTTATATATATTATTTAACCCCCATAAGAACACTAGGAGGTGGATACAGATGAAAGATCCAAACTCAGAGAAAAACAATTTCCCCTAAATTAAAGCTGCTGAGTGGTAGAGTGTCTGACTCTAAACCATACACTCCGAACCAACATGCAGAGTTCTATGGGACCGTGGAAGTAAGAGCAGGAGGAAAAGCAGCACGGACAGGATGCTATTTAGTTCTAGACATAGAGAGAGAGAGTGGAGGACATTCCAAGTAGAAGGAACAGCACAGACAAATCCATAGAAGGTTGAAGAAAATGGTGTATCCAGGGGATTTCCCCTGGCTGGTCTGGCTGGGTGTAGTGTTGAAGATAATTTGTTTGTGGCCAGATAATCAAGGACCTTCTGCATCATGGAAGGAAACTGAACCTTATCCTATAGGACATGGAAAGCTATTAGTACAAATGCATCTTAAGCTGAGGATTGACATGATCAAATGTGCTTTCGAGAAAGATAACTCTAGTGATGGTGTGGAAGAAGGATCTGGAGGGCAGTGACCACGTGGAGATAGGGGACAAAGTGAGACACTACTCAGTCTGGAGACTGTGGTGTTTTTATAGTATTGGAGAGCAGGCAAGTGTGAAGAAACTCAGAAGGTGCGAGTTTATATTAAATGGCATAGACTCCCTGAAGGGAGATGTCTAGAGGGGGGGTTGGCAGGACTTTACCGCCAATTGGATATGAAAAGTGAGAAAGATAGAAGCGCAAATGATGAGGCCAGAATTTAAACTCAGGCCACTGGGGATATAGAAGTGTCATCAATGTAAATAGGATGTAAATAGGATGAATAGGGGAATAGTAGTGATACCATTATAATAATCTGGTTATTAATTAACAGAAACGTAGTAAAGGGGAGACTAATATAGGCATGCTATTTATACAACTTTGCCAGAAAGCTACAGTTTAACATTCTCCAAGTCTGTTCCCCACAGATCAATGGGTTGAAGGAACTGGACAATAGGTGCATGCCCAGTAAGGTCTGAATGATTTGGGAAGATGCTTACCTGTCAGTCACAACTGGGAGTGAGTCAGTGGACAGAAGGGTGTGAAATCTGAGACACTTAACTCCAGAACAAAGGGAGTTCTCTCTCTTGGCTCTTGTGCTCTGGAACTACTGTGGCTGGGGACTCACTCCCTGGAATTCACCCATGTGGCTCACAGCCATGTGGGACCCACACAATGGACTAATGGACTAACGGTAGCCTAATACTATATCAGACCCAGCTCCACCCTGGAACGAAAATTCTGGATACTGACCGTGCTATGGGTTCTGCTGGAGGCCCAGCTACGTATTTTCCAGGGCTGGATTAAGAGACATGGGACTGTGCAACCCAAGAAATATAATTCCATGCCAGTAAAAACCACCCTTTCTCCCATGTGAGTCTTAGAAAATTCCTCTCTAAAGATATTGTAAGAACCCCACCTCCACTAGTGACAGGAAATTGTAACCTACCCAATCTTCTGGCAACAATAGGGAAGAGTGAGGAATGGAGGAGAAGGTAATGGCTTCAATTTTGAACATGTTGAGTGTGGTAGGCAGAATAATGGCTAACCAAAGATATTCATGTCTTAATTCCCGGAATCTATGACTATGTAACTTTGTATGGCCAAAGGGACTTTGCAGATGTAATTAAGTTAAGGACTTTAAAATGGAGAAATTATCCTTGGTTCTCAATGTGGGGCCATGGGTAATCACATGGATCCTTAAAACTTTATTGTCTGTGATCAAAAGGAGATGTGACTATGGAAGAATGGCCAGAGAGATGTATTGTTGCTGGTTTGAAGATATAAGAAGGAAAACATGAGCCAAGGAATGTAGGTGACCCTAGAAAGTGGAAAAGGCAAGGAAGTGGATCCCCTCCCTCATAAAGGAACACTGCCCTGCTGACACCTTGATCTTAGCCTTTTGAGGTCATGTCAGATTTCTGTAAAATAATAAGTATGTGTTGCTTTTAACATCTAAGCTTGTGGGAATTTGTTACAGCAGCAATAGAAAGTTAATAAATTGAGTATAGTATTCCCAAAGTTACCCAGGTGAGAATTGCAGTAGGAAGATGCATGTGTGACTACACCAGTCTGGAGTTCCAGGTATGTTGATTTGGTGGTTATCAATAATAATGAAAGATGGAAGCCTTAGGTATGGATGAGAAGTTCCCTGCAAATCCAGAGGAAAAACTGACAAGAAGAAAAGCAAGGGACCCAAAAGCCACATCATATTAGGGGTAAGTGGAGGAAAAAGATGTGGAAAAGGGAGAAAGAGTGGTGACACATACACAAACACTCAGACCTGCTTAAGATACTCCCTACCTTTTTGCCCTCCCCGACCTGAACTTGTCTTGTTGCCATGATTGCTTTAAGGAGTAGAGCAGAAAGGATGAAAGGGTGAGGGTCTGAAGATGCAAGGGCAGATAAAGCCTCAAGCTTGAGAGAATCCTGTGAGACCACAGGCAGGCCAGAACTAGGACAAGGGGAGTTAGGCCGTTAACTCAGGTATAAAACTTGAGGGAGCACCAATAAAACCACAATAATCAAATTACATATTTTAATGCAGTATGTAAAAGTCAGAATTAATACACACAAGATAAAAAACTATCAAAAGATCTCTCTTACCCTAACCCTGGCCCTGCCAGCAGCCCCTGGGCTCTTCCAACCTGCCTGGGTTACCAAAACCCAGGAGAAAGAGACAATTGGAGACCTGAATGGTAACTCCCCATGTTTTAAATTCTTTAAATCAGGGCCCCTTCCCAAGGATATTTTCATTAGCATTTCAAGTTTCACATATCCTATAAAATAAAGAGCTAATATGCAAATGGTTGTCACACCGTCACACCTTAACGGCTCAGAAACTCAACACTAGGGAGAGAGGAATGGGGACCAGCCAGGCTGTGGCCTGGGAGAGGGACAAGCCGCCCACCCCATGGTTCTGGGTGCCTGCGGCTGTGGCCCGGGTGAAGCTGCCCTCCCACGGTCCCCTGCAGCTGCAGCTGGCCCAAGCAAAGCCGGCCCAGCCCTGGGTGCCTGCAGCCAGCCAGAGGAGGGAATCCTGGGTCCCAGGTGCGGGGAGAGGCAGAGGCAGTTAGGGGCGATCAGGCAGGCAGGCAGACAAGCGATTAGGAGCTAGCTGTCCCGGATTACAAGAGGCAGTCGGACATCCCCCAAGGGGTCGCGGATTGGAGAGAGGCCAGGAAGAGGGACCCCCCCATGCACAAATTTCGTGCACCTGGCCTCTAGTCTAAATTAATAAAAGAGCCAGTATGTATGTAAAATAAGAAAAACATACTTTAAGTTAATCTGGTATACACAGTTAAGAGCACAGCCTCTGGATCCAGATTCCCTGGGTTCTAATCCCAGCTTAATCTGCTAACTGCCTGTGTGATTCAGGTTACTGAACCTCTCTATGCCTCAGTTTCCCCATCTGTATAGTGGGAAATAATAATAGTATTTGTCTTGTGAAGATAAGTTAATACATGTCAAGCATTATTTGAATGATGCCTGGCTCGTTGTCCTTGCTATATAAATATTAGCTGTGGTCATTTTGTCTTAGGTTATTCATTCTGTTGCTGGGGAGGTACACTGTAACATGAAGCTGACTGTAACATTTTCATTCCTGAATTCATGGTTCACACTTTCAATTTTTACCCTTAAGCTCTGTTCTCCCATTTATTTTCATACCCACCCATCTTATAGTACCCTGGGCTGTTGCTCTAGCACCATCTATGTAGAAGCAGCACTAAACCTGCCCCCAGCTGTGATAACCTCTCAATTAGTACAATCCAAGTCAGATTCAGAAATATTAAAAAATGTAAATGGAAATAGACAGCTTTCTTTTCTTTGGGGGATGGAAGGTGTCAGTCAGGAGCATACCATCTCGAAAGATGGATGCCACGAAACACGTGCCATGATTTTCCCAACATCTCCATGGCAAGCATTTTTCAGGCTTGAAAAGTATCATTGGAGATGAGCTGTCCAACACTTGGACCCCAAGGCTAAGTTCCTCAGTTAGAACTACGATCTAAGCATTGCTGGATCTCCCAATGGCCCATGATTAGGGAGCTCTGTGTTACAGGTATATGGAGCTGTTGGTGAAACTGTGGGGGTGCTGGGCCAGACTAAGGTCTTTTGGGGTCTGACTTGATGGGCTCCACTAGTCTTGGCTTCTGTTATGGGGTGTGGAACAAGCCTGTAACCTGATTTCATCCCTCTCTCTGACCTCACCTTTCTCTCTCCTCCCTTTCAGAGTGGGATATAAACACAGGGAAGTGTCTGAAGACATTTAAACACAAAGACCCCATCTTGGCCATCAAGATCAACGACACCTACATCGTGAGCAGCTGTGAGCGAGGAATAGTGAAAGTGTGGCACATTGTCATGGCTCAGGTGGTAAAGGTGGGGGCAGTAGGCTGTGGAGGGAATGGGGCACTGGCGGTGATGAATTGGAGGAGACTGATGGTGGCTCCCTAGAGAACCTTGGAGCAATTGAGTTCCAGTCACCAGAAGGGCAGTCCTAAAGAACTGAAGGGGAAGCCCCCCAACAAAAAAAATTGGCCATTGACTGTTGGTGGAGGGTCAGGGCCCATGTGACCCATGCTGTCATGAGGCTGGTATCGGAAGGCTGCATTCTGATTAGACATTATATATGGGCTCAGGATATTTTTACAGCAATAGAGAATATTCTACCCTGATTCTGGCATGGGTAAGGGAAGGAACAAAGTCACAGTGGTTTTTCCCCTTACTCTCTGATGAGAATGTTGGCTATATTGAAAGTGACTGAATGTTCAAATACATAAAATGTTCTTGCTGGATTTGAAACCCCCTGGCCCTAGTGGGTGGTGGTGAGATATCATTTATGCCAGGAGCACAGGGTCACAGCTTTTTACCACTAATCTTGTTGTAACTGTGGTTTAACCAGCATTTGCAGGCACAAGGATGCCCCAGGTGCCCACTGGGTCCTGGTAAGGAGCTGGGGATGGAACATCTGGCCCTTCTCCTTCTGGCAGAAGAGGATGATGGTCCAGGCCCTCGCTGGTACTCCAGAGAGATGGGCCTGCCTCAGCCACAGACCCACCAGCAGTCTTCTCCCTGATCCATTCGCCCTTCACTGGGGAGGGAGCTCTGGAGAGAGGGAGCCTTATAAGAGCAAAAGTAAAGTTGGCTAACTAAGTACCAAGTGAGTAGTGCTCATGGATTGGTGGAGAGTGGCTTTGGAATTTACCTAAAGAAGCTTCCAGCTTTGGCCCTTGAAGGAGTCACACTTTGAGTTGACGATTGGCTGAACACAGGGGCAACTTTTCTTGCAGATTCTCAGCGGCCATGAGGGAGCTGTGAAGTGCCTGTGCTTTGACCAGTGGCATCTCCTCTCGGGAAGTGTTGATGGCCTAGTCATGGCCTGGAGCATGGTGGGAAAGTATGAGCGATGCCTCATGGCCTACAAGCATCCCAAGTATGTGCCAGGAAAGCCCTGTCTGAAGAATGTAGTGCTCCCTCCTTTTCCTGTCATAGCTGCGACCTTGATTTTTGGTAGATCAGTCCCTTTTTCTGTCTACTGACCTTTTGTCCCCTTTGCTCCTCCCCCATTTCCTTTTCTTCCTCCTTTACCTATTACCTACCACCCCCTCTATTTGGCCAGTCCCTCTATTACCCTCACTTATTTCTCTTAAGAAATAACAATACTAGATGTGAATTTAGAAAAATGTTTGAAATGTTATACTTATGACACACGTGATAGACTGATATCCGTTACCTACTAAATGTCTGAATATTGGCAGAGCTGTCCCAAGTAATGCCAATTCTAGTAAACTTAATATGCTTGGAATTGGCGTTTACCCCAGGAAGCTTGTGTTCACAAAAGCTTGAAATGTTCCAAGTGAAAAGGTTTAAAAATAATGGAGGGCTTTCTCTGTTTGATATGTTTAACTTATATGTGGAATCTAAAGAGCAATATAAATGAACAAACAAAACAGAAACAGACTCATAGAAACTGATGGTTGCCAGATGTGTGGGGATAGCAAGCTGAGTGAAAAAGGTAAAGGGAATAATAACTGCAATTGGTAGTTACAAAATAGTCATGGGGGGGGGGGATATAAATTACAGTATAGGGAATATAGTCAATAATACTGTAATAACTATGTATGATGCCAGGTGGACACTAGACTTATTGGAGGGTCACTTCTTAAATTATAAAAATGCCTAATCACTATGCTGTACACCTAAAACTAATATAACATTGAATGTCAACTGTTATTGAAAATACTAAATGAGGGCTCAGAGAAGGAGCTTATTCCAGGACAATTCTATTCCAGGACAGACATGGATTTCATTTTACAATTCCAATCCCAGTGTAGTGGTGGTGGCTGCTTAGAACCATTTGAGAAGTAGTCTGAGGTCACATTGGGGCTTATTTGGAAAGGGTATTGTGGTCAGTTAATGGGTCTGCCATGGCCAAAGGTTTTACAGGCTGTTCTGTGCCACTGCGGTACTATGTGAATAATTCTTTTTCCTCTGAGTGCAATATAAACAATCCCAGGGATTGAAATGCTATTCCAATTGATTAAAAGAGTAAATGGATCTTCCAGGGGGATCTATCAGGGGATAGCTATTTAGTAAAACATGTCCCTAAATTTCCTTATACCCTCCAAAGAACTTCTTGGCAGGCACACTGGCTTCATAGGAGGTAGAAGGGGATTTGGGTATATATGTGTACTAGTGACTCGGTGCATAGATTTGTGCACATTGAAAGGAAATTAATTAGAAGGTGGCTGGTGGGGTGGGACTGGGCAAGATGGGCCGGACCCTTCATGGAGCCAACTTCCCACCACCCCTCCCTGGCTGGCCGCACCTGGGGTGGCACCGTAGCTCAAAAGGCATCTGCGGAGTGAGCGGGGTGTCGGGGGGAGGTCCCCTCCGGCAGGTGGGGTCCCTCAGCCTGGCCTGCGGGGATCGGGCTGAAACTGGCTCTCCGAAATCCCCCAAGGGGTCCTGGACTGCAAGAGGGCACTCTGCAAAGTTACTGTTGTACAGGGTGTGGAACGCAAATGCAAGTGTGCAGTAAACCAGATTTGGGGCCGACAGTGCCCCAGCAACAACATAACCCACAGTCGAAGATGGAATCGCACAGCCCCATGAGGAATCATGCTCCCTCCTCTCTGCTTCAGGGTACTTCACCTGAGAACCACCGCTGCCAAGTCATTGCAGCTCGACAGCTCCTGCATTGAGTGTCTGCCCCCTGGTGGTCAGTGTGTGTCATAGCGACCGGTCAGATGTAGGGAGGGACACTTAACATATTAGCCTTTTATATAGATAGGTATCCTCTGTCTGTGATGCGTGACTGCATTCTTGATGAGTGGATGCTGAGAAGGGCCTGTGTTCGGTGATTTATCCAACCCTTAGGTGACCGTCAGCAACTCTCCTAGCATGTCAAACCTGGACCCCCAGGAAGGAGTCAAACCTGATTATGTCATCTGAAATTTGTAACTATAGGTTTTTAAAACCTCCCAACCACAATTCAGTAGGATTTAGTTTAAGTATTGGAAAATAATTTGTTCCCAGAAAACCCAGCAGTTTAGTCACTATTCCACCAATCCATGAGCCTCCCACTCCACCTCAGCTATGAGACATTCTTAAACCATTGTCACTCCCATTGAATGGGGACCCCAACATACCATTCACTTTGGTTCTTGATACCTTGCATAGTTACAGTGAATCCATAGACAGCTGGAGGACATGGTCAATGCCCTTCTTTATGGGGCGCCTCTTCCTACTCGTCTCTTATGTACATATACTGGTAAGTACTCAATAAATATTTTCAATTGATTTTTAATAAGGACTAATTTGATAGATTGCCTTTCTGGAGAGTTGTCATGATTGGACTGATACCCATCTTTTGAATATGATAGAGGTGTAAAAACAGACATAGTTGCTATCTGTCTTCTTGACCTAACATTTATTTCCTCCAAAATTAAGATTATGCATATAGTGTGGGAGACAATGGATAAGAGAAATAAAATTAGAGGATACAAAGTAGAAAAGATAGAAATGATGATCCCTAGAAAAGTTTTGTACTCTGTAGTATCTTAAAAAACACACACCCTTTATTCTTTAATGTTTTATAATAATACATTTTTTAAATTTTTAAATAAAGATAGAATTTGCATAATATAAAAGTCATAGTGTGCAATTCAGTGATTTTTAGTATATTCATAATGTTGTAAAACCATCACTACAATCTAATTAGAGAACATTTACATCAGTCATTGGGAATGTCCTCTGTTTCATTTCTGATTTTAGTGATTTCAGTTTTCTCTCTTAGTTTCTTGGTCAGTCTAAGTAAATAATTGTCAGTTGTCTAGCCAAAGGTTTGCTCATCTTTTCAAGGAACCAACTTTTGGTTTCACTGATTTTTCTCTATTGTTTTTCAATTCTCTAATTCATTGATTTCTGCTTCAAGCTTTATTTTCCTTCTCCGTGGTCCACGTTTAGTTTGACCTTCTTTTTCTAGTTTTTTTTTTAAGGTGAAAGTTAGGTTATTGACTAGAGAAATGTAGGCATCTACTGCTATGTACTTCCCTATGAGCAAATTTTCCATGTTTCCTTCTGTTATTCATTTGTAAGTTAATTTATTGTAGTCAAAGAACTTAATATGATTTAAGCGTTCAAAACCTATTGAGATGTGTTACTTGACCTAACGTAGGGCCTATCCTAGAGAAAGTTCCATGTGCTCTTGAGGTTAATGTGTACTCTGCTGGTATTTGTTGGAATGTTTTGTATATGTCTGTTAGGTCTAGTTGGTTCCTAATGTTTTTCAGGTCTTTTGTCTAGTTGATCTAGCCATTATTTAAAGTGTGGTATTGAAGTCTTCATCTATGATTGCTGAGTTGCCTATTTCTCCCTTTAGTTATGTGAGTTTTGCCTCATGTATTTTTGGATACTGTAGTTAAGTAAATATGCACTTATAATTGTTATATCTTCTTGATGAATTCACCCTTTTGTCATTATATAATGTCCTTTTTTATCTCTATTAACAATTTTGTTTGCAAGTCTATTTTGCGTGATATTAATGTAGCCACTCCAGCTCTTGTTTCATATGGATTATCTTTTTCCATTTAACCTCTCTGTGATTTTTATTCTAACGGGAGTTTCTTGTAGACAGCATACAGTTGAATCACGCTGTTTTTAATCTTTTCTTCCAATCTCTGCTTTTTACTTGAAGAGCTTAATCTCTTTACATTTAATATAAAAATAACTTATTTTACCATTTTGCTATTTGTTTTCTATAGTCTTATGTATTTTTTTTCCTCAGTTTTTCTTTTATGGTCTTCTTTGGTCTTAAAAGGGTATTTCCTAGTATGTTATTTTAATTCCCTTGTCTTTTTTTTTTCCTTTCTATCTATTTTGAGTTATTTTCTTAGTATTCATCCTGGGGATTATAATTAACATCTTACTTTATAATAATCTAATTCACATGAATATTAACCTAATTTCAATAGTATGCAAAAATTGTGCTCCTCTCCTCTCCTTTATACTCTTATTATCAGAAATTGTCTTTATGTCCTGTGTATCCATCAGCTGCTATCTTTAAATGAGATAGAAAAAAGAGTTATAAACAAAAGATACATTTATATTGTTTTCTTATATTTACTAGTACCTAGTTACCTTTATTGATGCTCTTTATTTCTTCATGTGGATTCGAATTGCTACTTAGTGTCCTTTCATTTCAACCCAAAGGACTCTATGTAGCATTTTATATAAGGTAGGTCTGCTAGTGACAAACTCTCAGTTTTTGTTTATTTGGGAATGTCTTAATTTATCGATATTTTAGGATGGTTTTGATGGATATGTAAATCTTAGTTTATAGTTATTCATTTTTGTTTCAGCACTTTGAATATATTACTTCGTTCTTCTGGCCTCCATTGTTTCTGATGAGATATAAATTAATGTAATTGAGGATCGTTTTCATGTGATGAGCTGCTTGTCTCTTGCTGCTTCCCATGCTCTCTTTGTCTTTTTACAGTTGATTATATGTTTAGATCTCTTTGAGTTTATTTTAATTAAAGCTTGCTGAGCTTCTTAGATGTGCAGATTATTTTTTCACCTTATTTGTAAAGTTTTGAGCCATTATTTCTTCAAATATCCTTTCTACCCCTTCTCTCTTTCTGGGGCTCCTGTTTTGCAAATGCTGAGGTTTGATAATGTCACAAAAGCTTCTGAGGCTCTATTTTTTTTTCTTTTTCTGTTCTTCAGACTGGATAATCTCAATTGACCTCTCTTCAAGTTCTTTGCTTCTTCTGCCTGCTTGATTCTGCTGTTGAACCCCTCTAGTAAATTTTCATTTCAGTTATTGTCATTTGCAACTCCAAAATTTCAATTTGGCTCCTTTTATAATTTCTAACACTATTGATATTCTCTATTTAGTGAGACACTATTCTAATAATTTTCTTTAGTTTTGTACATGTTTTCCATTAGCTATTTGAACACATTTAAAATAGATGATTTACAGTCTTTGTTTAGTAAGTCAAACCATTGGGTTTCCTGGGGATGATTTCTATAGATTACTTTTTTTGCTATATATGGACTATACTTTCTAGTATTTTTATGTTTATACTAGAGACCTGATGCATGAAATTTGTACAACAGTAGGCCTTCCTTCCCCCAGCTTCCGGTGCCAGCTTCCCTCTGGCACCTGGGACCCGGGCTTCTCTCCAGCCACTGGCAGGCACCTGGGACCCAGGCTTCCCTCACAGCCCCGGCTTCGTCTGGAAGGTAGTCCAGAAGGACGTCCGGTCTAATTAGCATATTATGTTTTTATTATTATAGACTAGTGGCCCAGTGCATGAAATTTGTGCACATTAAACAGGGATTCAATAGAGGAAATATTTTAATATTGCTATTTGCCCAATCTCTATAATAGAAGTTTCAGAGATGAAAGAAAATTAGTAAAATGTATATGAAAATCTTCCTCCTGTCAGAGTCTGGGGCACACCACGGGACACAGAGTCAAGTCCCTGTCCACCCATGTGTGCCTCGAAATCATGCAAGACCCAGACCTGGCCGGCCCCACCCCCATTGGGCAAGATCCAGACCCGGCCGGCCCCACCCTTGTCTAGCCCTGCCAGGTGGGGTTGCAGCCTGAGGTCCCCTGGCCCGGCGCTGGGTGGGGGGGTGCAGCATGAGGTACCCTGTCAAGCCCCGCCAGGTGGGGGTTGTGGCCTCAAGTCCCCTGTCAAGCCCTGCCGGGTGGGGGAGTGTGGCCTCAGGTCCCTCATCAAGCCCCGCTGGGTGGGGGGAGCAGCCTGAGGTCCCCTGTCAAGCCCAATGGGGGCGGTTGAGTGGGGAATGGCCTGAGGTCCCCTGGCCTGGTGCCCATGGTGGTGGGCGCAGCCTGAGGTCCCCTGTCAAGCCTCACGGGGGGGGATGTTGTGGGGGGCACAGCCTCAGGTCCTTGCTGATTGCTCATTAAGGCTCATTACGGGAACTCAACCTCCGCTGTGGGTGCAGCCATCTTTGTGGCAGAGTGATGGTCAATTTGCATATTCCCTCTTTATTATATAGGAGATAATTTTTGTTGAAAACTAGACAACTTGAATATTTTATTTTTTATTATTAAATTTATAGGGCTAATATTGGTTAATAACATTGTATAAATATCAGGTGTACAAATTTATAATACAACATCTGTATACTCAATTATGAGCTCACCACCCAAAGTCTAGTATCCTTCCATCATCTTGTGTTTGACCCCTTTAATCCTATTTGTCCTCCCCCCACCTTCTTTCTCTTCTGGTAACCACCATTCTCTTGTCTGTATCTATGGTATTTTTTTATTTGTTCATCTGTTGCTTTTTGTTTTATATATTACATATGAGTGAAATCATATGGTTTTTGTCCTTTTCTGTCTGACATATTTTATTTAGCATAATACTCTCAAGACTCATCTATATTGTTGCAAATGGCAATATTTCATCTTTTTTATGGCTGAGTAGTATTTTATTATATAGTATATGTATCATGTCTTCTTCATTCAATCAAACAAAAATTGAGTAGTTTCCATGTCTTGGCTATTGTAAATAATGCTGCAATGAGAATAGAGGTACATCTATCTTTATGAATAAATGTTTCCAATACCCAGAAGAGGCATTTCTGGGTCACATGGTAGCTCTATTCTCAGTTTTTGAGAAATCTCCACACTATTTTCCATAGTGGCTGCATCAATTTACTCCCACCAGCAATGTATGAGGGTTCCCTTTTCTCCATATCCTCTCCAATATTTGCAATTTCTTGTATTATTGATAATAGCCATTCTAATGGATGTGAGGTGACACCTCATTGTGGTATTAATTTGAATTTTCATTATAACTAGTGATGTTGAGCATTTTTCCATGTATCCATTGGCTATTTGTATATCTTCTTTGGAAAACTATCTATTGCGGTCCTCTGCCCATTTTTTAAAAATAGAATTGGTTTTTTTTCTTGCAGAGTTGTATAAGTTATTTATACATTTTGGATATTAGCCCATTATTGGATGTGTCATTTGCAAATATTTTTTCCCATTCAGTTGGTTACTTTTGTTTTGTTGATGGTTTCTTCAGCTCTAAAGAAGCTTTTTTATTTGATGTACTTCCATTCATTTATTTTTGCTCTTACTTTCTTTACCTTTGGAGAGAAGTTTACAAAGACCCCTCTGAGACCAAGGTTCATAAATTTAGTGCCTATGTGTTTTTTTTTCTATTTATCTTATTGTTTCAGTTGTTATATTCAAGTTTGTAATCCACTTTGAGTTAATTTTTGTGTATGGTGTCAAATAGCTGTCCAGTTTCATTTCTTTGCATGTGATTTTCCAGTTTTCCCAACACCATTTATTGAAGAGACTTCCCTTTCTTCATTGTATGTTTTTGGCTCTTTTGTTGAAAATTAGTTGCCCATATATGTGTGAGTTTATCTCTGGGCTCTCAATTTTGTTCTATTGGCCTATGTGTCTGTTTTTCTGCCAATGCCATGCTGTTTTGATTTCTATAGGTTTGTAGTATAGTTTAAAATCATCGCAGAATGGGATGAATGAGTAGAGTCATGTCTTGAAGGTTCATGGTTTACATCCAGAATTATGAAATGAGGGCAAACATCACTTCAGGGATAGTTATAACCACTGACTCCTGACCATACACAAAATACCGAGAACTACAAAAGTCCCAAACAGCTTACCAAATGACACACCCTGCCTATTGCTCTGTCCCCTTCCAGGGAAGTTCTCCACGTGGCCCTGCTCTTCCTCCGGGTCATCAGTGCCTGTGCAGATGGCAAGATCCGCATTTACAACTTCCTCAATGGGAACTGTCTGAAGGTGATGAAAGCCAATGGCAGAGGTGATCCCGTGTTGTCCTTCTTCATTGGCGGCAACAGGTGGGTGGTCCGAGCTATGAACAATTCTGTTTGGATGATTTTTGCCTCCTCTGGGCCACCAGCCCTGGACTTCCTGGCAGTAAAGCTGGGCTTTGGCTGGAGGAGAGTCATGGTCTCATGGGAGACTAAATGGACTTTGCACCAAACTTAGCAATCAGGGTTCACATCACTCCTGATTTGTCCTGGACGTCTGGGCTACTCATGCAGTGAGTGCAGCATGGCTTAGCTGCAGGGACCACAGCTCTGAAATGGGCAGCCCCTGCTTGCTCCCTGAGCCCGCACTCACTGCCCCAGAGCTCCACCCACTGTCTCTGCAGTCTCACTTCAGATGCCCAAAAGTGCAGGAGGCAGGGAAGGCATGGGCAAAGGGTCCCGTGTCCCCTGGGACAGTGCTGAGCAAATGAATTTACAGAAGCCAGAACTGGGACTAGATTAATTGTATATATAATACTGTGCTTGTTATATGCCATGTTCAGGGTGCTATTATGTGAAATATACCCAAGTAGAATTCACTTTTTAAAAATTCTACCACAGGCTCACTTTAGACATCAAGTTAATCTCCATGAATCATATTGCCTTCTCTTTAATTAAACTTTACTATTTCTCATCTTAAAGAGGGAGCACTGGTAATAAGTCTCAATAAATAAACACTTTTCAGTCACGAGGTAATACTTTTTTTTTAAATCATCCCTGAATTTTTCTCACCCCTGACATCTGAAGAAAGACTATTTCCTTTTGGCTTGAGTAAAAATAAATCAGAAAGAGATTTCTAATTGGAATGATTCCCCAAATTTTATTCCAGTGTTTTCAACCAAAACAAGTCACTCTCTTACAGAGTTTACACTAACCGTTATGATCTTAAAATTGCAACCTTTGGAGCAGAAAGGAACCTACACACAGTGTCTCTGTTTCTTGTTTATGGTGAGAGGAGGTCCAGGTAGAGCAGAGAAAGTGGCTTTCTCTGAGCATGACAGAAGCCATGGGCAGGCAGGAGGCAGTT